TAGTACCGCACCTGGTTTGCGGTAGTACCGTGTCGGACTTTTGCATAGATAAAAACTCAGCGGATGTAGTCACGGATGTAATTTTTTATATCCGTGCCTACCGTGCCTGGACTGTTCGTGCCTTGCAGTAGTACCGCATAGGGCCACGGTAGTACCGCGCCAGCGGTTCTACCGCCCCCTGTCGATGCTCATCAGGATGAGTCCGGGCCCTGCCGCGCCCATGATAGTACCACAGACCACCGCGGTAGTACTGCAGGGCCGTGTGGTAGTACCGCATGTCGCGGGCTGAGTTGGTGGGTAACGGTTGGAATTGTCCCTTGACTATAAAGGGGTGTCTTCTTCTTTGAGTTGACCACCTCTTCCATCCCCAAGCTCCATTGATGCTCTAAGCTCCATTTTCGCCCGATCTCTCTCCCTAGCCCATCAAACTTGTTGATTCTTTAGGGATTGCTTGAGAAGGCCTCGATCTACACTTCCACCAAGAGAAATTTGATTCCCCCCACTAATCCCTTGCGGATCTTGTTACTCTTGGGTGTTTGATAACCCTAGACAGTTGAGGTCACCGCAGAGCCATAGTCCATTGTGTTGAAGCTTCGTGGTGTCGTTGGGAGCCTCAAATTCAGTTGTGGAGATTTCCCCAACCTTGTTTGTAAAGGTTCAGTCGCCGCCTCCAAGGGCACGAATAGTGGAATCACGGCATCTCACATTGTGTGAGGACGTGAGGAGAATACTATGGTCCTAGTGGCTTCTTGGGGAGCATTGTGCCTCCACACCACTCTAACGGAGATGTACTTCCCTTCAAAAGGAAGGAACTTCGGTAACACATCCTCGTCTTCATCGGTTCCACTCTTGGTTATCTCTTACCTCTACTTGTGGAAGATATATTGTGTTCTATCCTTTGCTTGCTTGTATGCTTATTGTTGTTGCATAGTTGCATATCTAGACAACCTACTTTGATGCAAAGTTTAATTTGGTAAAGAAAGGCTAAAAATTGTTAGTTGCCTATTCACCCCCCCTCTAGTCAACTATATCAATCCTTTCACATCGAAAGAAGGGAGGGGAGGTCGAATTGGGGAGGGATTATCGTCCCCTAGGCCAGCGCAAGGGGGAGTCATCCCCTCTTGTGTGGCGCCCCCTTGCCCCCTCCAGTCTATATATACTAGAGGTTTTGGGCACTTTTGAGATATACAAGTTTTTGATCCTCCTCTAGTTCTCTATAGTCTAGTTCTAGTTGTTCCAGTTAGAGCTAGATCTACTTTCTCTAATCCTCATAATCTAGTTTGGTTCTAATTTCCTCCCTCTAATTGTCTGGCGACGATTAGCTCTGAACGGCGAAGCACCCCCGGATCATGAAATACCATGCGCTTGCAATATGTGGAGAGACCGCGCTTTCAGTCTTACGTTCGAGGGACTGTTTGTGGGCGGTTCGCGGGATCATCCATCTACGGTTTGAGGGGCTCCATGAACATGAAGGAAATATGCCCTAGAGGCAATAATAAAGTTGTTATTCTATATTTCCTTATTTATAATAAAGGTTTATTATTCATGCTAGAATTGTATTTATTGGAAATTAAATACATGTGTGAATACATAAACAAACACCGTGTCCCTAGTAAGCCTCTACTAGACTAGCTCGTTGATCAAAGATGGTTAAGGTTTCCTAACCATGGACATGAGTTGTCATTTGATAATGGGATCACATCATTAGGAGAATGATCTGATGGACAAGACCCATCCGTTAGCTTAGCATAATGATCGTTCAGTTGTATTGCTTTGCTTTCTTCATGTCAAATACATATTCCTTCGACTATGTGATTATGCAACTCCCAGATACCGGAGGAATGCCTTATGTTCTATCAAACATCACAACATAACTATGTGAGTATAAAGATGCTCTACAGGTGTGTCCGAAGGTGTTTGTTGAGTTGGCATAGATCGAGACTAGGATTTGTCACTCTGAGTATCGAAGAGGTATCTCTGGGCCCTCTCGGTAATACACATCATAAGCTTGCAAGCAAACAACTAAGGACTTAGTCACGAGGTGATGTATTACGGAACGAGAAAGATACTTGTCGGTAACGAGATTGAACTAGGTATAGAGATACCGACGGTCAAATCTCGGGCAAGTAACATAGCGATAGACAAAGGGAATTACGTATGTTGTCATAACGGTTTGACCGATAAAGATCTTCGTAGAATATGTAGGAGCCAATATGGGCATCCAGGTTCCGCTATTGGTTATTGACCGGAGAGTTGTCTCGGTCATGTCTACATAGTTCTCGAACCCATAGGGTCCGCACGCTTAACATTCATTGACGATATAGTGTTATACGAGTTATATGATTTGGTGACCGAATGTTGTTCAAAGTCCAGGATGAGATCACGGACATGACGAGGAGTCTCTAAATGGACGAGAGATAAAGATTGATATATATGACGATGGTATTCAGACACCAGAAGGGTTTCGGGATGCACCGGATTGCCATCGGGTCACCGGAAGGGGTTCCGGACACCTCCTGTAGGTGTTATGGGCCTAATGGGCCAAGGGAGGGACATACTGGCCCCTGGTGCGCCCCTTCTTTGGACAGCAGGCCCTAAGGGAAGGAAAGGAGGGAGGGCTAGCCCCTCCTGCCTTTCCCTCTCATGGGAGAAAGGAAAGGGGGGGGGGCACCCTCCCCTGCCTTTCCCTGCACCTATATAAGGCAGGAAGGGGGCGCGGCTTGGGAGGGACTCCAAGTAGGATTCCTACTTGGGCGCCTCCTTTGGCTACTCCTCCCTCCCTCACACCTATATATATGTGGGAGGGGGACGCCTAACACAAAACAGACAATTGCCTAGCCGTGTGCGGCGCCCCCCTCCACCGTTTACACCCCTAGTCATATTTTTGTAGTGCTTAGGCGAAGCCCTGCGGAGATCACTTCACCATCACCATCACCATCACCATGCCGTCGTGCTAACGAAACTCATCTACTACCTAGACGTTTTGCTGGATCAAGAAGGCGAGGGACGTCACTAAGCTGAACATGTGTAGAACACGGAGGTGGCGTGCGTTCGGTACTTGATCGGTTGAAGCACGAAGAAGTTCGACTACATCAACCATGTTGTGAAACGCTTCCGCTTACGGTCTACGAGGGTACGTAGACACACTCGCCCCCCCCCCCTCATTGTTGTGCATCTCCATGGATAGATCATTGCGTGTGCGTATAATTTTTTTTGTTTTCCATGCAACGATTCTCAACAAAACGATCTAGACCGACTCTTCTTTCGCTGCAACTCGGAGGTGGTAACGATCCGATCCAAATCTCATCTTCATAGTGTTCCTAGGTGATCGTAGGGAGACATTTTTTTTGTTTTCTACTACGTTTCCAACACTATTAAGCCCACGTGTGTGTGGCGTTAGAATTAAGCACAGCGGAGCCGAGTGACAAGGCATCGATGTTTAGATGCGTGAAGCGTCATCTCTCATTTCCCCTTCTGCTTTATCCTTAATCTCCTCCTTCGCTAAGCAAAACAACCGATTCTACGTGTCAAAAAAGACGACCAGTTCTAGGATTTACCGTCGTTTGGTGTGTTGCCATTATGCTTACAACGTGACATTTGAATCTGGATGCTCTTCATCCAACACAACCCTATCTACAACAACAACAACAACATAGGGGTGACAACTTTCTAAATTGTGGATGGAGAAACCGGGGCAAACCTGATAATTTCGAGAAACATGTAGGCGGTACAAATAGCATCCACAAACACGATTGAGATAAATACTTTGTGAAATAAAAAATATCAATTGGTAATGTATTGAGTTGGATGATGATGAACTCTGTTGTTCGGCACGAGTTGGTTAGGCTTACTGTCAGTTGATCAGGCTGGGACTATCTCATCTTGTTCCATTCTCGGTGGATTACAATTCAGTTTCGGGTGCATTGACAACAGAGTTCGGTGTGCATCATGTGTCATGGTCTTGGTGAGCTAGGTGTTCTCATAATACTTGGGGAGAGGTCTGATTGTTCTATCTGAAGTCGGGTTAGCGAGCAGACCCATTCGTGGTTCTCCTCATTCTACTTCGACATTCCTTTTGTGAGGGGTTCTCCTCGTTCTCCTCAAGGCACACGGCTTTTCTTGGTTAGATGAAGATCGACACTAAAGACATGTGTCCAACTCTCAACTTTAGGATGCATGTTGTTGCTCCAAGGTTTAGGCTTTCCTTTAGTGGTATTGGTGTTGAAATGACATATTTGAATTACTTTTATCATCTTCTATTCATTTAAGACTGTGTTAGAACTATTTGTACACTAGTTTGGGCATATTTTAACATGTGTCGGATAAATATAATTCTATAAGACTTTAGTAACTAATTTGCACTGCACTTTTTTACTTTTTTTAGCTGACTTTTTTTTTCTATTGCTAAAATTCTAGACGTGTCATTGAATATTTAGCCTTTCCCCCATACGTCTTTCTCTCCCAAATGGAAGCCGGGTTCCTAACGGAACAACAGTTCAAAGGATACCTACCTAAGAAAAAAAGAAAGTAGTGCCTACATCAAGCTTATAGTACCCACAACAAATAGTAAAAAAAAATCTTAAACTTCATGGCATGGATTATGAACAACTGTTTTAGGTGCTTGCAAAGCTTGGTGGCCAAATAACATCAAATGATCTTCATGTAAACAAAATACAAATTCTGCTTGAAAGTGCATATATGCTTGAGCACTTTTTCTTTTTCTTTTTAGAGAGCTCCTCGGATGTTATTTGGCCTCGAAAATTTACAAGCACCTGAAACATTTTGTCATATTCAAAGCCATCAAGCTTCAGATCATTTAGAGTTTCTTTTGTTATGTTTCCGGTCATGGGTGCATCAGGTGCAATGTCTGTGGGCGTAGAAAAACCACCCACCTAAGAAAAAGGACAATTGTGTGTATTCTGGAATCCATCTTTCACTCACTGACGTTCTTCTATACGGTTACCTTATTTAAAACAAAATTTCCCTCCATCTTGTTGTAATCAATTCACTCTAGCCTTCACCGTCACCGGGAGCCCGTCCGCCATCCGCAACGTCAGCGAGGTCACCTGCCGCGGCCGGTATGCGCCGTCCACTGCGAGCTCGAACTCTTCCAGCACGCATGCCACGATGGACTTCATCAGGATGTAGGCCATCTCCTTCCCGAGGCAAATCCTCGGTCCCGCGTGGAACGCTATGTAGCGGAACGGGCTGTCCGGCTGGAACGTCCCCTCCGCCGGGTCCAGCCACCGCTCCGGTCGGTACGCCCGCGCGTCCTCTCCCCACACGGACTCCATCCTCCCCATTGCGTACGAGTTGTACGCCACGAACCAACCTGCCCCCACCGCCGTGCCGTCCGGCAGGACGTCGGCGGCCTCCGCCCGCAGAAAGTTCACCGGCACCGGCGGGTAGAGCCGCATCGACTTCGTGATGGCCGCGTGCACGTAGTGCATCTCCCTCAGCTCGTCGAGATCGAACCCGGCTCTGCCGTGATCGCCGATCGCTCGGCGGCGCGCACGGCGGCGACCTCGTCGCGGATGCGGCGCTCCACGTCCGGGCGCGAGGACAGCAGCCAGAAGAACCAGGTGAGCGCCGAGGATGTCGTTTCCCGCCCCGCGAGGAGGAAGCTGATCACTACGTCGCGGAGGGCCGTCTCGGTGTAGCTCTCGCCCTGGTTCGCCATGAACCTCGACAGCAGGTCGTGCTTCTCGCAGCCCATGCTCATCTCCTCCCGCCGCGACCGTATGATGCGATCGGCGAAGCCATGCACCATGGCAATGGACTCGCGCAGCCGCCGCTCGGAGCCCAGATTAAGCGCCTTCTTGATCATCCAGAATCCTGGGACGGCGTACTGGAACCTGCCAGCGCTGAGATTGGCCGCGTCCCGGAACGCGTCGGCGAAACTGCTGCTCGCGGTCGCGGTGCTCTCGACTTCTGGGCCAGCGCTGTCGTCTCCGTCCGGGAGCTGGCGGGGGTCGTGGTCAAAGGCGACACGGCAGATATTATCGAACGCGTACCGCTCGAGCGTGTCCTGGAGGTTGAGCTGGCTGCCGGACCCGGCGGCACGGCGCAGGAGCGGGAGGAACCTGCCGTGGAGCTCGCTGTGCACGCTTCGTGCCACGAAGAGGCGCAACGAGCGCGTGTTGAACTCGTAGCTGGCCGCCTTCCGCTGCGCGCGCCAGGCCTCGCCGTCGGCGTTGAAGATGCCCCGGCCGAGGAAGTCGTGGAGCAGCGCCGCGAAGCGCGGGCCCTTGGGGTAGTTATCGAAGCTGGCACGCATGATGTGCTCCAGGTTGGTCGGGTTCGCGGTGATGACGCCTCGGACGCCGCCGGGCCGGCGGAACACCAGCGTGCAGGTTGGCAGGAGAGCGAGCACCTCGGTGAGCCAGTCCAGCACGCGGTGCCGGTTCGCCAGGAACTGCGGCAGGTGGCCGAGCAGCGGGTACGGCCGCGTCCTCGGCGTGCGCTGCGCCGGCGCCTTCTTGTCGAGTCTCCACGCACGGAGGACGAAGACTGCGCCGAGGGAGAAGAGCGGTATCAGGAGGAAGGCTGCCAATGCGATTGCCATGGCCGCTAGCTGGATTCTACCTACCCCACGAATTTGTGGAGTGTAGGTGAAGGGGAAGAAGATAAGGCAGAGGAGGAAAGGAGCGTGGTGGTGAGCGAGCCGGTCCGCCACTGGTGAGTTCTTGTGCTGACCGCACACGTGCCGCCGGTCTGCCGCAGCTGCGAAGCGGGAACTTCGTACGCAACGAATCGCTGAACTCCGTCACATTCAGCCGGTATGCTGCGGAGAGATATTTGTCTCAACATTTGATATTTATGCATGCAGCCGGCATTTCTTTGATTGATATGTATAGTAGCTAAGGCGTGCAAGGCATGCACATGCATGCACGTTACTTCAACTAGAGCTGCAACCTCCACATGGTAGTTCTTAGAGCAACTCTGACGGGCCGACCCAAACGGATGGCGATTTTATCCGTTTGGGTCGGCCAGACGGACACGGATGCCCGCTTTCGCATTTGGGTTGGCGCGTGCGCCCAACACTGGTCTGAGACCCATTTTAACGGCTTAAAAAAATGAACGCATGCATATTAAAAAAAGAAAAACATCACTAATTAAACATTAAAGCCGGCCACAAAGACCGGCGAGGGTCCACATTTGCATTAAAAAAAAACAGCCTAATAAACTACGAGGCGGCGCGCTGCCCTAGGCGTCGTCGTCGTCGTCCTCGGGGTCCGTGAGGTCGATGAGCGTCGGCACCGGCCCGGCCCAGG